GTGTGTGTGTGTGTGTGTGTGTGTGTCCTTCAAGTTCCACGTTCTCAATGAAATGAGAGATGCTGATGCATTACCACCAGGTCACCAGTATTACCACCAGTTCAGTTCATTTCACATTTGTCAAGACGACTCAGTTAAATGAGATTATTAACAGTAGAAGTTAAATCTTACTGTAGTCTTCAAATCTGGGTACTGTCTTACGTTTTAAAATCACAAAGGGAGTTTGGTCCCATCAGGGTAACGTGACAGTCACGACTCATGCAGCTGTAAACTTTTCTACTTCTTTTGTTTTTACTCGCGATCTTTACAACACGCATTACATTACGTATTTCATGGCACACTCGTTTTATGCGTATTTGGCACCACCTATTGTTGTGGGTGTATTATTGACATGTCAAAGTCTAGACCCTGAATATAAGACGACCGCGTTTTTTCAGATGTATTTCCAAGAAATAAACATCGTCTTATATTCGGGTCAATACGGTAATTATACTGTATTCCACCAGGTTGTTTCACGTGATGTCAAAACAACTGTGTGTGTTCCATCAAGTTCTCAAATGAGAAATATTGAATATATTGTCTTGCCACCAATATTTGTTGTTTATGTAACGATCTGTTCTTCTCGTGGGCTACAAAAGTTTCTAAACCGTCTACTGTTGCACTTGATCTGTGCATTGTGATGTATGTAAACAACTTAAAGGGGTAGTTCATGCAAGAGTGAAAATTCTGTCATCATTTACTCACTTTCTCATAGTTACAAAACAAGACTTGACATATTTCTGTGAAATACAAAATAAAATATTTTGAAGAATGCGTTGTCCATAAAATGAAAGTCATTGGGGGCCAGTATAGTTTTGGACCCCACTGACTTTCATTGTATGGACAAAAAACAAGACAAGATTTTTCAAAATATCTTCTTTTGTTTTTCACATGAGCATAAGTAAATTATGACAAAAATGTCATTTTTGGGTAAATTATCCCTTTAATACAGCTATAAATGACGGCTAAAAGCGAAACATACATATTCCCACAAAATGATTACTTTGTTTGAGGCACTGAAGAATGTGAAATAGAAACATAAAGACAAACATTGCATAGACAAGCCTTTGCAAAAAAAAAATTCAGTTGTTTGTGCATGCTAGTAAGAGCATCTAAAATCTTCAAGGGGAAATAATGAATGATGGGGAACCACCTAGACAAGTTTCTAAACAACACCTTGAATATTTTAGCACTCATTTCATCACTGGTGTTTCATCTTCAGCTTGAGAGTGACACTGCCCATATCAGATCTGGGAGAATGAGGCATGTATTAACTCAGAGGTGTTGCAATGCATCTGCAGAGAGGTAACTTCCCTCTGGGTACCGTGAGCATCAGTAAAACATAATCTTTTATTACTATAGAACAAATGAGAGAAGAGAAAGGCAGCCGTGTTGAATTTTACAGAGACAGACACCCAAATAAATCTTAAAAGCTTGGCTGCATTTGAATGCAAAACAGTCACCGAATGGGAATGTGTTTGTCATTTTAAGTTGTAATATTCTTCATCTCCATTCTCTTTTCAAGGACAGGCACAGTCCCGGCTCATTTGATTTAATTTACATTCTCAGAGTTTTTATTTTTATTTTTTACAGAGCTATTCCTCAGCAGAAGGAAGAGTGATACTGAAAGCTATTTCCTAAACATGACGTCATTTTTTTTTTGCTCTGGAGTTTTTAGTCACCTGATAATTTCGGCTCAGGCGACTATCCCTAACCCTGCATATTATTTGAATTGCGGCAACAAACAGGATGCAGAACTGCAGTTCGATTGTAAATCTAAGTTGAATGAAAATTAATTGAAATTCATGTACTTTTTAACTAGAAAAGCAAAGTCTGTCCAGACAAACTTTGAATGTTGACTTAAAGAATTGTTTGAAATTGTTGAAAACATTTGAATATTTATAGGCCTTACAGTTAAAGTTGATGATATAATTGACCTTTTTGGACCATGGTTGGAACATTCCCCAGAATGCAGAATGCCTGAATTCTTTGAATTACAAATCAGTAAATTCTTCCTTTTATTATTTTTCAAATTCCACTTTAACTTACTCTGGGATGTTGCCAATTCACTTCACCTGATTTCATCTCATTAAATTGAAAGTAAGACGATTCTTAATTTTACAGAATCACATAGACTACCATTCAAAAGTTGAAAAGAGGTCTGTAAGATTTGTTTATTGTTTTTGAAAGAAATCTGTTTTGTTCATCATTATTACATTAAAAAAAACTGTTTTCTGTTTTAATATTTTTACAAATGTAATTCGAAATTATGGCAAAGCTAAATTTCCAGTAGCCATTAACCCTCAGCTATTAATTTCTTTCCAAAAAAATAAAATAATAATGAAAAAAATCTTACTGACCACAAACTTTTGAATGGTAGTGTACTTCTGTCTACTCCTGCACTAGCCAAACAACTGAGATGAATGGGAATATGCTAACAGACATCTTTCTCCAAATATAGTCAAGGCATAAATTCATTAGCTGAAGCAATAACAACTACAGCAGCAATAAATATAGATTTAGAGATTGTGAGAAGTAATGGTTTATACATAAGAGTGAAAGACAGAGCTGGCCTTTTGGTGCCTGGGTCATGCTTGGCTTTGCCCTGATAGACTGTTGACACTTTGTTTTATTATTGTTGAATTATCAGCTGGCTGCCGCGGTGGGGAAAGAAATAATAATCATTAATTACTGAGGATTTGCCTGTCAAGCTCACGCCTATTTTGTTGCCACACAAATCGTGGGTCTCATTACCCTCAAAGAGAAATGTCAGGACTTCACTGACTGGAGACTTTATCAAATGATAGAGGCCGCAGTGCAGTGCATGCTAAATTGACACTGCGAATGTAATTGAGATGCTTTTCCCCACTGTTATGGCTCTGTTAGTGTGAGACTACTTACAATGGAGAATGAGCACAGTAAGACATCAGCAATACAATAAGGACTATTGCAACCCAAAATATTGATGCGTTTTTCAATATGTTAAAGGATATTGTTCAGCAGGGTGCAAACTGTGATGCAAGCCATGTTAAACATTTCATGAAATGCATGCTCTGAGGCACACTATGACTATCTTTCGATGCATAAAAACATCACTATATTTTAGACCTATGCCATGGAGAGTTTTGCTTTCAGCCTACACCCGCTGTTGATCTTCGAGGTCTGCTGTCTTTACACTTTGCACTTAGATGGTGACCTTAAGAGAACAATAGGCTGATGAATATCAGCAGCTACTTGCTTTCTACAGTCTGATCTGTAGCCCACTTATGACGATGCTCACCTCCCCAGAGAAGGCCTGGCCATTGAGGAGATGCTCAGAGCCCTGTCCATCCTCACTTCCAAAGTGTAACCTGATCTCCTCAAGACGATGGCTGTACGTCATCGGTCCACCGGAGATGTTCACCAGGTGCTCTTTGTCCAATCGGAGTGAGACATGGCGGCCGGTGTTGTACATCGTCCCTCCAACCTTTAGAAAAAAAAAAGAGTCATGGTTAAAAGAGTCGCCAAGGAATTAAACCGAGAACTACTAATCAAATAGATAGAGAAGAAACAGTAAAAAAAAAAAAAAAAGCCCAATGGCATGTACAGACTTTTGACAAGTTTTGCACAGGCTCATTAAATTGTGGCTTCTCTGATTTATAATGTGCTTGTCTTAGAAAAGGTTATGTGCTAAATGAGCTAGAAAAGGTGCTAAGTTAAAGCCAGATGGCAACCAGCTGCACAAGAACTGCTATTTGTTGGCTTTATCAAAAAATATCTTGACACTGCCTTTGCCCTGATTTAAACCAAAAAAGGCTGTATTGTGTTTTTACTGAAGGTTCAGCCACTGATTTGGGTGATGGGATAATTTTGGGGTGGCACTTGTGTTGACCAATCAAATTTTAAGCGGTGGCTAGGGCCATCCCAGATCGCACATATGGACATGCCCCTATAAAAGAAAATATTATGATTTTTGGTTGCATATCCCTTGGGTTGACTTTTTATTAAAACATATTCATTTGTTTGTTATATAAAAGGCCACATTGAAACTGTCTTGGAAAATTATATATTTTTTTAAACATATTTTTCTGTTTGTGTACAGATTTGATTGGTTATCCCTGGTCCTTGACCCAGACTTTCAAACTTAAACTATGAAAATCCATCATACAAATAGGAATTATTACATATTTAAAACTATGCTGATCCATAAAAGAACATGTGTGGAAATTTAGAACAATGTTTTTCCAAGGAAACAACAGTATCAGTGAAGAGCATGTTTGATTCATGAGATGTGATGTGTGAAGAAAAATCAAGCTCAATACTACTTGTCAACAGAATATTTTGTGTCATTTTCAGTCAAGCTGTGTGAAAATATTATTTGTATAATTTAAAAAACATAAAATGCTAGCTATGAAATATACTCTGCCATTTTATATATATATAAATAAAATTCAATATAATTTCCATCACTTCATTTTTACCCCAGAATGCTGATGAAAATATGATAAGTGTGTTTTAAGAGTTTGTTTTCTAAAATTCTACAGGGCTAACAGTGCTTATAGTTGAAGAAATACCTCTACATCGAACTGTAAGAACATGTGTGGAAATTTAGAACAATGTTTTTCCAAGGAAACAACAGTATCAGTGAAGAGCATGTTTGATTCATGAGATGTGATGTGTGAAGAAAAATCAAGCTCAATACTACTTGTCAACAGAATATTTTGTGTCATTTTCAGTCAAGCTGTGAGAAAATATTATTTGTATAATTTAAAAAACATAAAATGCTAGCTATGAAATATACTCTGCCATTTTATATATATATATATAAATAAAATTCAATATAATTTCCATCACTTCATTTTTACCCCAGAATGCTGATGAAAATATGATGTGTGTTTTAAGAGTTTGTTTTCTAAAATTCTACAGGGCTAACAGTGCTTATAGTTGAAGAAACACCTCTACATCGAACTGTTTACTGAAAACACACAGTGGTCTGTAATGAAATTATATTCTCATTTTCAATGATACTGTAACATGTAAAAACTCAAGTGGAAGGAAAAGAGCTGGTGTGACAGATGGAAGAATGAAAACAAAAGAAGTGTGTCCTCAAAGCCGAAGAGAGTGAGAATCTGCTTGGAATCAATTCGACCTGAGGCTTTAAGAAGAGAGCATGGAAATACAAAAACCATGGATAGCAATCTTTATCAGTGTATCTGCTTATTTATTTATATTCAGGAGTTGTTCCAAAGTGAGCCATTGATAATCCAAACACGATGCCAGAAAGGTTTCCATGGCTCTTATCTTGCCTTTTCTTTTCTGCCTTTCTCTCCCTCTCTTTATTTCTTTTTGTCGGTCTCTCTTTTTCCTTTTACGACTTTGCCTTCAAAATGATTTTCCCTCACCAAATTCCCAAAGAAAGGGGCCTGCCCACACATCGTGAATATTTTATAGAACCTCTGAAAAATCAATGATTTGTGTAGGGTAGAGAGAAGAGGGGAATGAGAGAGAGGGAAGTATGGAGGGTAAAAGAAACAGTGGGAATGGGAGGAGCACAGACCATCCTTGAGAGAAACGATGAGTAAAGACATATAGCAGCACATAAAGGATCACCAATCTGCACAGTTACCTCGGAGTGCTGGACTCTTCCGAGAAAAGGGCAAGACATAAAAAACCCTGAAGAGGTAATTTCTCAATGATTATTCATGAACTACAGATGGCAAAGGGAGAAGAACTAAAACTTGCGCGGCTCCACTGAAGAAAATCCCTGTCTGGCATATACATGACAAACTGAGATGTATCTGCTACTGTTCGACAACAGCATCGAATGGACCTCAGTCTCACAGAAGTTGAATATCCATTCTGCTAGGTGTTTTTATTTCTTCCAAAATGTGAGCATTTGTCTATTATTGATGGGGTAGTCTGTGCTGAACATCTTGTATACATATATATATGGGCCTTTTATTTGCAATGTTTTTTCCTTCTTGCAATATTCCCAACTGATTTGAAAAAATATATATAACATTAGCTCATAAACATTAGCCTGTGTATTGTTTCAGCTCTGCATTTTAATTTTTCCAAATGCATTGAGCTGTTTCACCTCATAATTTGTATTGATTAATTCAAAATAAAGCTAGTAAATGCTCTGCTGCGCTTTAATTTGTTGATCTGGCAATTCTATGGCTGACACATCGCACTGCTCTGAAAACAACTGCAAAATCACCATAACATTTTGGATTGAACTTGAAATTGACCAATCATATTTGACGACTGGAACTAACACGTGTATATATACACACTACTGTTGGGGTCAGTATAATTATTATTATTATTTTTGTTTTACTGATTTGTTTTATTTTACTTTATTTTAGTTAATTTAGTTTAGTTTAGTAGATAAATTAATACTCAATGCATTAAAAGTGAATCAAAAGTAAGAGACGTTTATGTTACAAAAGATTTCTATTTCAAAATAAATGTGTGTATGTGTGCATATGTATATATACACAGACACACACACACACACACACACACACACACACACA